AGAGAGAGAGAAAGGAAGGAAGGAAGGAAGGAAGGAAGGAAGGAAGGAAGGAAGGAAGGAAGGAAGGAAGGAAGGAAGAACACCTGACCCTAGACCAGGATTGAGGCACTATGCAGCCTTCCCTGGCCCAGCACTCTGCTCTGGCCCGTGAAGAGGAGTGAGGGGGAGCAAGCCCACTGTTCTCCATGAGAACTCGGCTTCTGACTCACTCTGAAGGGCAGCTCCCTGCTGGAGTTCCAAGTCTGTGAGATACTATTAAGTCTTCTACCACCAAGACTCTTGAGTGTGTGAGTGACCGGCAGTAATTCTTCAACCCAGGAGGAGACTGGAGTTACAACAAACAAAGACCAGCTTCATACCTGCCCAGGAGTTGACTACTTCCATGGAAACAATGACAGGAACAAGGGGAGAGGCCCTCCCTTCTATTGTGTTTGGAGTCAGCTATGGGAGAAAACCAAAGAGAGGGAGAAAATTCTCTGCAAAGAAGTTGCCAAAGCAGCAGCTCTGAGAGTCAGCTACAAAAGACCAGGTTCGTGTCAAATCTCAAGACTCCCTGGACTGAAGCAGGTGACAGCCACTGAGGTGGGCCATACATGGCTGTCAATCTCCATCACACCCTGACCTCACAGGTCACCTCTTCCACTGATAAAGAACCAGTTGTCAGGCAGGACCCCACACTCCAGGAATGCAGCACTTTCTAAGCAGTGAAAAACATCCAAAAATCTCTTGTATGCATTGCTTTAGTACAGTGAATGTCCCAGACCCTGGTGAAAAGAATCAAGTATAGGGTGAGCTCCATGGAGCAAAGTAACTCAAGGAGTCTTTTCAACCAAAGTAGTTCGGGACTCTTATAATCACCCAGGAGTCTCAAATCTCAAACCGGGTATGGTTTCTATGACAACCAATCTATGCATAAGGCTTTGATGTTAAGGGCTTCATTGCATGGGAAATTACATAATTTTTTAGACTCTGATATTTCCAAGGGAGCCCTTCATACATATCTTTGAAGAACACTGCTTCTCCATTATAAAACCCAGGACAGAATGGTTACAAGCTTGACTGCTTACACAACGGCTTTTATTCCAACAAATATTCCCAGGCTTTAAATACAGTTCAGATTTTATCCATGCTACACCTCCCATCTCCCCCACCTTCCTTCCTAGCAGCAGCTCTTAATTAAGAAGGCTGAGGACCCGGACAGGGCTTTATTAGTCTAAACTGAAGAGAAACAACAGGTTTGTAGGCATTGCAGGACTTAATAAAAGAATACAGATATTAAGGAAATGATGAGAAGCCTGTAATGTTCAGCCTCTACAGGGCTCATCAGAGATGGGCTCCAGGGATCCAAAGGAAAGGAGATTGTGTCAGCAATTCGGGAAGCGGTAGAGGTAGGACCAGCAACAGTTAGGCACAGGGACAGTCAGGGCCAGGCAGTTGCAGGAAAGTGAGGTCCTCCCCTTCACTCAACCTGTCCCCCATTAGAATGGTGTTGATTTCCCCTCACAGATGAGGAAACTGAGGTCCCCAGTATTTATCTAACTTAACCCAGAAGGTACAGCTAGGGAAGGCTAGAACCAAAGTCAGATCCCTGCTCTACCTGACCCAAAGGCCCATGTGCTCAACAGCAGGACAGCACAGACTTGATGAAAGAAAGAAAGAAAGAAAGAAAGAAAGAAAGAAAGAAAGAAAGAAAGAAAGTCCCTGCTGGGGCAGGGACTCAGGATCCTAGCCAGGGCTCAGTGATAAGAGGACCTCCCGTTCTGGCACCATAGGTGAGATATCATAAATAACACTGGCTGGGGGGAGATGCACGGGAGTATGGGATTGAGGTAAGCAGAGACCCCCAAGACTGTCCTCTGTCTAAAAGGGCACCTCTAATTCTAACTCTTTCTAACTCACTGCCAGGATTACTGCATCTGCCAATTGTGGGGAGGGAAGTTGGAAATCTGACTTTCATGTTTTTTATAAGCCACCTTATAGCAGTGTGAACAGACTAAGATGACTCTCTTCTGAGCAATCAATCAGAGGTCACTTGCATGATAGTGAAGTCACCAATCTGTTTCCAGTCATTCTAGAAGTGACCTCAGGTCTCCATCATCTTACAGATTCAAAACTAAGAACGGTAGGGCAGCTCCAGTTAACAATATACTAGTGCATATTTCCAAATAACTAGAAGAAAAGATACGGCACGTTCTCCCCACAGATGTGATAAATGGCTGATATGATAAGTGCTCTGATCTGATCATTCATTATACATTGTATCCGTGTATTGAAACATCACACCGCATCCCAGAAACATGTACAATTATTATGTATCAGTTAAAACCAATCCATACTGCACACGGAACCAGAAGAGATCCAGAACAATCAAAGCAATCTTGTGAAAAAAAAAGTAGGAACCATCACAATTTTGGATTTCAAGTTATATACCACAAAGGTAGAGTAGCCAAAATAGCATGGAATTGGCACAAAAATAGACATGTGGACCAATGGAATAGATTAGAAGGCAGAAAAAATCCTATGCACCTACAGCAATCTGATTTTTGACAAAGTTGCCAGAAATACACATGGGCAAAAAGATGGCCTCTTTAACAAGTGGTGGTTGGGAAATTGGTTATCCACGTACAGAAGAATGAAATTAGACCCATATCACTAACCTTGTGCTAAAATCAAATAAAGACAGATCAAAGACCTAGATATAAAAGCTAACTTTGAAACTACTCAAGTTTAAAAGGGGGAAACACTTGAAGCCATGGGACAGGCAAAGACTTTCTGGACAGAACTCCACTAACACAAGAAATGATATCAAGAATCAATAGGTATGGCTACATCAAATTAAAAAGCTTCTGCACAGCCAAAGAAACAATTGACAGAGTGAAGAAACAACCTACAGAAAGGGCAAAAGTTGCCAGCTACACTGCTGATAAAGGACTAATGTCTGAACTATATAAAGAACTTGGAAAAATCCCTCTAGACCAACAACACATTTTATTTTTTTTCTGCTGTACAATCTTTGTTCTTGCTCTTAGCAAAAAAGTTTGTAGTTTCCCCACATAAAGTATGATATTAATGCTAAGTTTTTTATAGATGTCCTTTATCAAGTAGAGGAAGTTCCCCTCTACTCTTAGTTTGCTGATCACTTGTATGTATGTTGCAAATTGCTATATATTTACTGTAATAGTCAAGGTGATAATATGTTTAAAGATTACAACAGAATAATGTTGTATTCATCAAAAAATATGGGACAATTTTAGACCAGCAACACATTTTAAAAATGGCTAAATGAACTGGAAAGACGCACTTCTCAAGAGAAAAGGTAGAAATGGCCAACTAGTATAAGAAGAAACATGTTCTTTAGCTCTTAGGGAAATTTAAACTAAAACAACTCAGAGATTCTGTCTCACCCATCAGAAGGGCTGTCATCAAGAGCACAGGAGGGACTGGACGCTGGTGAAGAGGCAGGAAAGAGAAACACCTCTACATTGTCAGTGGGAATGGATAATCGCACAGCCACTATAGAAATCAGTGTAGAGATGCCTCAGAAAACTGGAAGTTGAAATTCTACTTCACCCACCTATACCTCTCTGTGTATGTTCCCAACTGATTTAAAGACAACAACAATGATATTGTTCATACCCAAGTTTATAACAGTGCATTTCATAGTTGCTAAGCTCTGAAAACAGCTAAATCCTTATCCACAGATGGATAAAGAAAATGAAGATGATTACAGATGTAGATGTGGATGTGGATGGGCAAGGGGATGTGGACACAGGGATAGATAGAGATAGAGATAGAGATAGGGATAGGGATAGGGATAGGGATAGGGATAGGGATAGGGATAGAGATAGATAGAGATAGAGATAGAGATAGAGATAGAGATAGAGATAGAGATAGAGATAGAGAGAGATAGAGAGAGATAGAGATAGAGGTAAAGATAGAGATAGAGCTAGAGACAGATAGAGGAGATAGAGATAGGGATATTTATCAGCCATAAAGAAGAATTAATTCAATTCCTTTGCAGGAAAATGGGTGGATCTTGAGACCATAATGTCAAGTGATACAAGTCAGATACAAAAAGTTAAATATCACATGGTTTCTCTTTATATGAGAAAAAAATTATAAACAAATTAGAGTAAAATAAAGGCAGAGTTTTTGAAATTGGAAAAGGGGATCAGGGACTAGGGAATGAAAAATGATGAAGTTATGTCTATATATATATATTTTGTGCCAATTCCCTGAAAAAAGTGTGACCATCATGTATTGCAAACATATACTGATTTTTTTTAAAAAAAAATTAATTTTAAATAAAATTTTATCAAAGGAATGCTGACCTTTAGGAACAGGGGGAGAAGATTCAGCAGGCTCCTCTGACGTCCTTCTGGGGTGCTGTGGGTCAGCTGCTGGTATTCCAGAAACTTCCTTTCCAGCATGTCCCAGAGGGCCATGGGGCCAGGGCTCTGCTCTCCAGATGGAGAATCAGGCTGCTGTTCATCTTGGGAGCCTGGGTCCTCTGCTCTGTCTTCAGCCTTTGGGAGCTCTCCAGCCTCCATGCTTGACAAAGCAGATCTGAATCCAGAACAAATAAACGAAAATAAAAAGTACTGCCTGTCTCGTCACTTCCTGGCAACTGCCTGTGGGACGAAGTACTGCGCTCATTACACTTAGTTCCTCCTGAAAACAGTTCCTCTAAGAATCTGAAACTCACTCAAATGAGGAACGCTTTTCAAAAAAAGAGAGTCAGATTTAGATGAAACTAACATGTAACTGACAAGCCAGTGTGTGCCAGGCACCAGGCTGGACTCACTGCACAGACACGGAGAGATGGCTGTGCTCATTCTCTGCGTGTAGGGAAAGAAACTCTCAAGGCCAAGGCGATTGGGCAACTAGACTTCAAGTCCAAACACAGATCTTTAACACTAAAGCTTTCTGTTTTGTTTCAATTACGTCATACTTTAAAAGTAAATAAAGGAATACCAGTAATCCCAACACTCAGGAGGCTGAGGCAGGAGGATCAGTGCGAGTTGGAGACCAGCCTCGGCTACAAAGTGAGCTCAAGGCCAGGCTGACCTCCATAGGGAGACTGTCTCAAAAAAAAAAAAAAAAAAGAAAGTAAAGGAGATATATAAATACAAGTGCTGATAGAAACAATACAATCTGTGTTTAAATTTTTAAAAAATTACAGTAAAAGATGTATTGCCATGAGTCCCCCTGAAAATACTCCCCCTTGCTTCAAACACACATATCCCATTATTTTGGCCACCTTGTGAAGCAGTTCTCCACATCTTCTTTTATGAGCAAAAATATAAAGAATGCTATTGTCATGTGCCATCCAATGGAAAGGCACCCTTATAAAGACATTACAATGTGACCTCAGCTGCCACATTCACCGAATCTGGCCTTATGTGACTTCTGGCTCTTCCCCAAAGTCAAAATGATCATGAAAGGCTTTGAATTGTTTCAGGACATCAAGGCAGCCATGACAGTGTAGTTAGACATTCATGAAAAAGGACTTTCAGAACTGCTTCAGAAAGTGGCAAAAATGATTGGGATAAATGTTTAAAATGAGGAGGGATTAACAACAATGTGTCTCTTACTGTAATCAATTTTTTAATTTAAACATTCACCATATTTTTCTGTCATGCCTAGTATTTTACCAGTATTTATAAAGGCATATAAGTCTTAAAAAATTTTTTTTTTGTTTTTTTCTGTTTTTTTTTGGTTTTTCTCCAGTACCGGGAACCAAACTCACAACCTTGTGCTTGCCAGGCAGGCGCTTTGCCGCTGAGCTAAATCCCCAGCCCCTTTAAAAATATTTTTAAAAATTTTTTAAGATATAATTTATACACTATACAGTTCAGACATTTAAGACTGTATAATTCCACGCTTAGGGTATATTATGTCATTAAATTTTTAAAGTTCTGGTAATGTATATGTGTGCCATTTCAATTATTTTTAACTGCACAATTAAGTAGCATAAGGACATTCACAGAGTTGTGCAATTATGGCCACTATTCATCCCCAAACCTTTCTGGCAGATGTGTGAGTCTGTATCTAATCATCACTTTCTTCTACCACATAAATCTGGAAAGATAGAGCCTTTATTGTCAGCATTGTTTGTTCACACTCAATAGTTTTAGAGGACTTTGTCCTCACAATGACCCTATCAGTCCCCAAGCTTATAGGAGCCCTCTGCAAGTGCACACAGGAATGATTTGTGCAGGCCAAGAGCCTGGAGCCAGCAGATGAAAATAGCCATGATCCATTCCCCAGATAGGTAACCTCCACATTCTACCTTTATTTGTATCTTTGAATTTTCAGATGTCTAACTGTTGAGGTGAACAGTGATTAACTCACAGCATACAGAGGTTTGTGGTATGTTTGTAATACAGTAAACTCTAAAGACAGACTAATGTCCAGACTCCCTACACGATGCACCCCACAAACTCAGTGTTACCATATGGGAATCTACCCACAATCACAGGGTAGCGATGAGAGGTACACACAGAGGCAGGTCACCTGAAGTCTTGCCCTGGCTACATAGCAGAGGAGGCACATCATGCTTTATGTCTAGTTCAGGTGTATATTCCATGGAAGCTACAATGGCCGTTAGTCCTGTATCACTTGGGAAAGCTAATCATCCTCCCTTGAAACTTCCTCAAACTTTATGTATACAAACCTGTGTGTCCCTGGCTTCTCTTAAACCACATATGCTTCTTAGTTCAGGCTTCATTTACAGAAATCATTTCTTTAATGGGTGAACACATTGTGGTATATCCATACAATGAAATACTGTACAACCCATAAAAATGGAATGAACTGTTGACACACATTATACCAAGTGAAAGAATCAAAACATAGAAGACCTCAATGAAATGATTCCATTTATGTGAAACTAGAAAACAATCTCAGTGGATGAAAAACAAATCAGTAGTGGCTGAAGACAGAGTGGGGAAGAAAGAGTTTGATAGGTAGGGTCAAAATGGAAATGTATGACTATGATAATGTTTGATATCAGTTGCAGTGGTGGCTACATGCATGTTTACACTTGATAAAACTCATAAAGTGTAAGCTTAAGAAAAGTGTGGCTACAGTTTGGATCTAAAGTGTCCCTGAAGGCCCATGAGTTGAAAGCTTGGTCCAAACTTGGTGTTTTTGGAGGTGACTGGAACTTTAAGAGACAGGGCCTAGTGGGAAGTCTTCTGGTTATTGGGGGGAGTGGCCTCCACCAGCCTGAGGGACCCTGGCCTTCCCTATTTTTGCCTTTCACGTCCCCACCAAGAGGCTTGCTTGCCAGGCTGCTGCCATAAGCAAAGGAATCAGTCAGTCATGGACTGAAACCTCCTAAACTATGAGCCAAAATGAACACTTTCTCTAAGTATTTGTTACAGCTACCAAAAGCTAACTCTGGTGTATTTTATATATGTAAGTTCCAACTCTAAGTCAGTTAAAAATTATACAGAGAATGAAGACTCAGTTCTACATTGAAAAGCAGAATACAAAACAATATAAAATTCAGTCGGAAAGCATTTTCTTATTACAAAAGCCATATCAGTTCATTGTCAAAAACTGAGAAGGAAGAAAATATCAGGAAAAATAAAACATGCCTATCCCCAGAAAAATGATTGCCTGATAGTCCAGCTTATGTCTAAGACTATGTCATCTAATAAAAACACCATTTAACATGGCTGAAGCAAGAGTTTTACTTATACTTTGATTTAACTGGGCAGTTGGCTGGGGTTTGGGGAAGATTCTCGGTTCCTTTTTGGGGGTGAACCCCAGCAAGGGCAGTAGAGCTGCTCACTCTTGACTCTGTCCCTGACTTAGGCAGGCTGTTGTCTGGTTTTGTTCATCTCATCTGTTCCTTGCTCCCTCCCCCAGGGCCTGGTATCTGCACACCTGCATCGCCAGGGCTCAGTGACTCCTGAGTCTCACTGTTTGGCTCAGCATTATGTCCCCAGACCTGAGTGTTTGTCAAGTCAGCTTCCTTAGCCACCACCTTACATCCCAAAGCGGACATCACATGCTTATTTACCACTTGTTTGTTCTCAAAGTGACCTGACGGATGGCTGGATTATCACAACTTCTGGGTCTGCACACAGCCATGCTGTCATTCCTCAGTGAGGAATGTTTTAGTTATTGAGTGCTGCAGGGGACAGGTCCATACAGGCCCCCTCAAAGGCCGTATCAGACTATCTCTGATACATCCATAGGAGCAGCAGACCTAACTTAAAGATACGCTCGCCCAAGGCCATCTGATCTCACAAGATGCCTCCAGAAAACTGCACCAACCACCTTGCTCCCACAGGCACCCAAGGGCTCTCTGTCGCTTCACTGTCACCCCTGCTGGCGTCCTGCAGCATTCTGATTGAAGTTACCCCATTATCTTGTCAACCACTGACCACGCACATCTCTCCAGATGGGTTTCCTTCTCTGTGAGCTGACATCTAACCTGAGCCTACTTTTTCTTGCTTTCCTTCTTGCTTTATGAGACACAGATGGTTCTAGAAGCCAGGCCCTTGAGATTATAAATATCTTCTCCCTCTCCATTTGTCTTCTAAATTGCTTATAACTTTCTGTCATTACAAGGTGTCAGTGACTATTGTCCTTATCACTTAAGATCCTCATCCGCTCTATTTTCAATGGCTTTGTGCTGGCTGAAAATCATGTTGATGTTTTATTTCATGATCCCACAAAGCAGGCCTGTAAGTGGTTAGCATAGACAGCATTGCTGTGACTGTCCCTGGGTCTACATCTTCCTGCCTACTCAGGATCATTTGCTCGGAGTCCTAACAGGGCACAGCAGGACTCACAGGCAGATGAATTTTTCAGACTCTTATCCCATTTTTCCCAAGAGCCTGTCTTGGGTAGGATCTGGATTTTATTTAAAATTTGGAGATTTTGTTCATCATGGATTTTTTTTTGCATTAATTTAATTCTTAAACAAACTGCATTAATTCATCATTTTTGCCCTATCCCAAGGCAAGCTGGTACCCAGAATCAGACTGGTATTTATATACAGTGGAGTACTACTCTGCCATAAATAAGGATAATTTTGGTTCATTCATAGGAAAATGGGTGAACTGAAATGAGACCATAATGTTTAGTGAAATTAATCAGGCACAGAAGCTTAAATATCTCATGATTTCTCTTATATAAGAAACCCAAACTATATATAAATTAAACAGCAAAATAAAGATAGATAGTAGGAAGCAGGCAGGCAGATCTCTTGCACCAAGGGGCCCAGCAAGAATTAAGATGTGCCACATACACACACCAACTTCCCATGAGGAATACAATCACTGAGTACTGCAAATTTGGACTAATAAAAATAAAAATTAAAAAATAGAGTCAGATTCCAGAAAATGCTTTCTGCATCGGTTCCTGGTGGGAGGCTTCAACCTCTCCTTAGGACTCTAATAACCCAGACAGCCATATCCCCAAGAATCACCAGCTCTACAAAAGAAAGATCACTGTGCTTGTGATGGGCCGGGACAAAGTAGATGCTCAATAAAGAAAACTTTCCTGACTGAGGGATGACAGCACCGCTGAGTCAATGAATGGGTAGA